CTGAAAAGCAATTGAATTGAATTCCATAAATTTTACCGAACAGTTCAGCTGTTTAGATTTTGGTAAAAATGACCAAAGTCGGCGATAATTTCTAAGTGTGTATGTTATGAAATTAGTTCAAAATTATTTAACTGACAGAACTCTGCAGGTAAATTATCAAAATTCCAAATCTAATCGACTACCTGTTAGGGCAGGAGTTCCTCAGGGTAGCATTCTTGGGCCTATATTGTATAACATTTTCACTTCGGACCTCCCTGATTTGCCTCAGGGTTGCCACAAATCTTTGTTCGCTGATGACACAGGCATTTCCGCTAAAGGAAGAAGTCTTCGTGTTATTTGCAGCAGACTGCAGAAAAGTTTAGATATTTTCTCTTCTTATTTACAAAAATGGAAGATTTCTCCCAACGCTTCCAAAACTCAACTTATAATATTTCCACATAAGCCTAGAGCTTCCTTTTTCAATCTAGTAGTAGTCACATAGTCACTATGAACGGAGTTCAAAGTGAACCAAGTGAAATATCTTGGATTAGTACTTGACCAAAAATAAACTTTTAAAGATCAGACAAACATATAACAACTTACAGGAACTTAAGTGGTCACACACGTCGTTAATAAATAAAACTAAAATAAGAGGTCCTAAGTGGCTCCCTTGTGGAACTCTCGATGGTATATCAAACACATCGGATCTGGCATCATGAACCTTAACGAAGGCCTTCCTGGAGGTTAAATATGATTTTAAACAGCGAACGACCCAAGACGAAAGACCAAGGCGGCTCAGCTTTGCGATAGCAAGGTCATGAGGAACTTTGTCGAAAGTCTTAGAGAAGTCAATGTTAACGGCGTCTACTTACTGACGCTTTTATATGCTACCAATAAGAGTGTTGGTGTAGGACATCAAGTTGGATATCGTCGAGCGCTTTTTCATGAATCCATGCTGGAACTCCGAGATTATAGATTACCCAGCTGGATACAACGTGTCATGCAGAAGACTTTCAAAAACTTTGAACAAACAATTAAAGATCGAGATAGGTCTGTAGTTTTCCACGCTTTGAATGTTGCCTGACTTCCAGGAATCCTGAAAAACGCCATCCAGGAGTGAACGATTGAAGATAAACATAATGGGTGTGGTCAACGATGATGCACAATTCTTGATGAAAGACGGTGGAATATGATCCGCACCTGGGCCTTTCGATGCATCTACTTAGCAAAGGGCTTTGAAAATTGCGTCATGACTGAAGTTAAGCTGCTGCAGACGAATGTTGTAGTTCGGTAAGGGAACATGCATAAATGACGTAGCATTTGAGGGGGGAGGTGGGGGTTTCAGAGTTTGTGACCGGCCATGTATTGGATATAGCGAAATACGCTACGAGGGGGAGGAGGGGTCTAAAATTGATCAAAAATATGCTACGTCATTTATGGATGCTCCCTAACGAGGAGTTTGATCGAGTTCGAAAACGGTTCGGAAGGAATCAGCGAAGAGGTTTACAGAAGTGGCATCGGTGGAGGAGCTTCGATTACAGTAGGTGAAGTCTGCCGGAATACCAACTGATCTTTTACGAGCAAAACGACGATGGGTTTTCTTTGAAGCCACTCTGGAGGTTATCAATATATTCACGAAAGTGTACTTTATGCAAACTGTTGTACTCGGCTTCTGCAAGCAACGCACCATATTGTTTTCAGCAGTGCTGGAGCGAAAGAAACGTTTACACACACTTAGAAATTATCGCCGACTTCGGTAATTTTTACCGAAATCTGAACAGCTGAACTGTTCGGTAAAATTTATGCAATTCAATTCAATTGCTTTTCAGCTACTAAGAAACTAAATCTCCTCTAAAATTACAAGATTCGATCATTTAAACAAGGTTGAACATGTTTTGAAATTATTTTCAAATTCAATAGCCTTTAAAATGAAGATCAAAGTTTTACCGAACGTTCAGCTGTTCTGATTTTGGTAAAATTTACCGAACACGAAAACAAAATCTTTGTGTGCCTTACGCAGACGGTTAGGCAGATTATGCAATTGCTGATTCCACCACGGTTGTTGGAAATGCATAAAAGGTCTACGAGCCTTTACCAGAACAGTTTCATGACAAAAATTGCCATAGAATACGGACTCGACGGCATCCATGGTAGGTAAGTTAAGTAATTGCACCCAATCCAACGCTGAGATCCTCGCATTAATAGCATCGAAATCACACCACGCGAAATTTTACTCGCTGCATGCTGCTGGATAAGCTGACGAATGGTCACTTGAACGGATATCAACTTTCAAAACTAACGGCTTATGATGGCGATCAACTTTCAAAATGGCAGATGATGGTTCAAACAGCTCAATAACGGGTGGCAACTAAAATTTTGGAATTTTTTCGAGGCCTCTATGCTCAACAACAAACGAGCTCAGAGAGAAATAAGATTGTGTATGTGTTAGCTCTCTCTCTCTCCTCTTTCTGCTAGTATTTTCTGTTTTGTTAATGTTTGCTCAGTTTTGCTCAAAATGCCGTCGAAACAAAAAGTATTTCGCGAGCGCGTTGTACAGTTCTACGAACTGCACAGAAATCTCGGCAAAAAGTATACGGTACAACATTTTAAATGCGAAAATGTTGCGGCTTCGACTGTTTACCATATCCTAAGATCCTTAACAACTGCTCGCAAGCAAGGTAGTGGAAGACCAGCCAAAATTATGGACGCAAAAGGACTTCGTTCTCTTTCTCGTGCCATGGTTCAAGCCCTCTGGTTTGGCAATCAATCAATATGTGTACCAGAACGAATGTTTGAAGAAAATTTTGATCCCGTTTCTACAAAAACATCATGCTGATGGACAATACGTGTTTTGGCCGGATAAAGCGTCATCGCATTACGCCAAAAAAACACAATCGTTCCTGAATACCCATTCGATCCCATTTGTACCCAAAAACCACAACCCGACAAATCTGCCTCAGTGTCGCCCAATCGAAGATTTCTTCGGGGTTTTGAGCTCCTTGGTGTACAAAAATAACTGGAGAGCCACGAATTGCAAACAGTTGATTGGTAGAATCAAGAGATGCATTCGCAAAGTTGACATGAAGACCGTACAATGCTCCTATTCTTACATCAAACGGAAGCTTCGCCGAACATCCGATTACGGACCGTTTTCAAATGTTCACTAATTTTTTTTCAACGATGGACAATGTATCTTTAATTTCAATAAATCAGATCTTCTTTAAGTATGTTTGTCTTTTTTTGACAGCTTGAGAAAGAAATTCCAAAATTTTAGTTGCCACCCGTTAGGATCTGAATCACTGACGAGGACCAGGTCGAGAAATTTATCATTAGCGTTGACCAGATCGCTAATTTGCTGCAGTCCTGCAGATAGTAAGTACTCGACTACAGCATGTTCCTATTCAGATGAAGCATTGAGAGGAAAGAATCCTTGGATATCCTCATCGAATATATCATACAAAGTTACTCGAAAGCCATTTGAGGGGTTTATCAATTTCACTCAATATCTATTGAGGTAATTGCATATTGACTGCATTTCAAATGGAACCGAAATCCAAAATTTCATCAATTTCAGAACACTGGAACTATTTTAAATAGCTATGATTACATTAACAAACATCACCAAGATGCCTCTCGGTGATATTTTGTATGGGAGCGAGCTGTCAATTTGTTAGTTTTGAGTCAAACAGTGGAATTGTTATTTTGCTTTAAATCTTGATTTAAAAATCGAGATGGAAGTAAATGAGATCGAAAAAAATAACATTGTGCTCAGAAAATGAAGCCTTTTCAGATGGTGTGTAGTAACGGATATATTTTTCAAAATTAAAGAACCCAATTTGAGATTTCAAAAGTGCTAAAAACTAATCTAATCACTCAATATAATAAGTAATCATGCAGAACGATAATATCATGAGTTCGTCAATTTTCTATAGTGCAAAAATTCATTTACATATTTACTTTAACTATTTATGTTTGTATTACTTCTGCGTGAAGTTAACGATTTTACATAGTTGAAGATGCTAAGTTTCGAATAAAAGACTTAAAGCGGTCATTTTATACAATATATGAGGAGAAGAAAGTATAGAGTTGAGTGCGGTACAATCGATAGAACTATTTCAAACTCATCATCGGTACATGAGCAAATCGGTGATCATCTATTTTTCACAGTGGTGGTGGGGGGATACCCCTCACCATCCCTCTCCAACTGGGGAGTTTGGTAAAGAGAGATGATCAACCCGATTCGTACCTTCCTCAAAGTTGTCCTTGCTCGCTTTCTACTCTCTATATACAATTTTCACACTGCCGTACTCTAACGGAACTATCAACTCTATACTTTCATCTTCTCATCTATCGTATAAAATGACCACTTTAAGTCTGTAATTTGAATCCTAGCATCTTCAACTATGTACATATTTACGTTTTATTGGATCTATTTTCTCTCGAATTACGGTATTCAAATTAAAATTGCATTCATTCTCTTAAAACCAGAACAAATCAAAAAAAGAATTTTAGAGCTTCAATGTAGACGTCAATTTTTCTTAAGAACATTACTTTGGAAACTCAGAACTAAGCCATTCATCAGTTATCGATGTCCTCAATGACCTTCATTGGCAATTATTCAAAGCTAATTTGCTAAAAGATCTTTTACCTTGAATTGAATAATTGGTGACGAAAAAGCTCAGATATATTATCAGTACAAAATTAAATCAGAAGCTCAGAGCTAAACTTTATGATTGAACCTAAAGTGAAAATAATTTGCTTTAGCTATGGCGATTAGCGGGCAATATAATATAAATATAAGGTTAACTTAGGGCTTCCAAGCTTTATATCAACCGTTTATCAGCATCAAAATGGTCATTAACGGGCTTCTTGGTTACTTGTGGACCACTTTTAGGTCGATTTGGAACTTCAGATTCAACAATGTTCCAAAAACGTAAAAACAATAATATGATTATTTGTGACTGACAACGATAGAGTGAATGGCTACAGAAGAGATTGCCTCGAATTTCAACAGCACCTACCTGTAAACTGCTTGTATCCACCGAGAATCTTATGCTTCCACCATTTAACAATATTTCCAGCCATGATTCGTTCGCCTTTCGCGTGAGCTCACACTAGTGGTAGGTACTTCCTCGGGGTTGACGTCCCTTTCTGCCCTCTCAGCCCGTGTTATCAACCAAACCACCAGTGGAAACACCTTCTTCGCGTCTTTCGCTTTTGCTTCGACTTTTCACACCTCAACGCTGCTTGACCGCCGTTCGCTTCTTAACGGATGATGACCGCCACCTTGGTCGTCGTCGTCGTCGTTGCGGCCAACCACGGCAAACGATTCATTGCGCCTTTCTTCGCTGCGATTCACTTCGCATGATACGGTTTCTTCCGAAAATTGTATCCACACTATTCATTTTCCACTGCCATATTTCCATCGCTTTTCACCGACATTTTTTTGATCAAAACACACGATCTTCTTTTCTTTTGCCTCTGCTTTTTTTCGGAAACTTCCACACCAATAACTTCTCTTTCTTCTATTTTCTCGCCTTTTCCCGATTCTTCCACGGCGCGATATTATTTATTTCGCCTTCTTTCTCCTGCTGCTTCAGGTCGAAAATTCATCATCAACAACAACAACAACAACACCAGCTAGCCTCTGGATGTGGCTGTGCTGCGTATCTTTTCGGATTCTCCGAACTATTTACTACAAACGCCCCGCACTCGCCGCCGTCGTCGTCGTCGTCGTCGTCGTCGCTCTTGTCTATGGTATGTTCCTCAAGCTTCTTCTATAGGTACCACCTCGCTCAGCATGTTTTGTTCAGTGTGTTATTGGTTCCAATCAAGGGGACCGCGCGATACAGCGAGACGTACGAAATGGAACGAGCGCGCGCGGGTGGATAGCTGTCTACGAAGAATTTTCCGTCTTCGCGCTCTCTATTCGCCCCCAGGTTGCGTTGCCGAAAAACACGCAGGCAGGCCAGGTCCAAAAACGATCTCGCGTTCGAGAGAAGACGAAAAAAGTGAAATATTTTTGCCCCCTTATCCACACACAGGCACCGACAAAAAAGCCACACCGACAAATATTATTCTTCCCTGCCTCGTCGCGCCAGTTGCTCCCATACACAACGGGCCCGCCTTCACCCCTGTATATTATTAATTCAGAGAAATTTTTACAACTTTTTGTTTGTGTTGCCTCCGCCACCAGCCAATGCTCCCTCGGTTGGTCGGTTGTGTCGTCTTCTGAACGATGATCTTCGCTCTTTCTACAGCACAACAACAACAACGTCTTCGGCCGTTCCACGTTACACACGAACTTGAGAGATTTTTGTAAACACACACGCTCTCATAAAAGCCTTCGTTGTACAAAAAATATGGTCTCGCTGTGTGCAGACCTCGACAAATTCACGTAGCTGTCAATTTCCATACAAAATACTGCAGCGCTAGTGCAACATCTAAAGGGGCGCGCTCAATTCCCTTAACTATTGTCAATCACTGGGATCCCTAGATCCAATTCTACGGTCTTCCGCAGGATCAGAGCATCACTCGAAAAACTATTTCGCTTTCCAAACACCGCCGATTCGTGCGCTTCAACTTATCACAAAACCATCAACATGGATTCCACCGAAAACAGTCCTTGAAAACACTCCGCTCTAATGTGCACCCAACATAGAATACGACCCTTCTGACAAACTACAATCGTTATCCTTTCTAGCCCTTCGCACTGGGACGAAAGTACAGGGACAAACAAAAGATCGAAATATCCCTATTTGTATTATCTGTACAATCTGTATATATCCTCCAATGGAATATACAACACACGCGCGCTCTCTCTCTGGCGACAGCGATTGTTCCGTCCGAACAAGTGGGTAGTTGAATTGGTACTGAACTGACGACGGGCCAAAGCGGATCGTGAGCGATTCTACTACCATCATCCCAACGAGCCTTTTGGCACAGTGTTAGTGCGAATGGGTGGCAAGCATTGCACGAAAACATTTATGCTCGATCTTCGCCCCGTGTATGAATGGGGTCCACCACTTCCTCGGCGGGTGCGCACGTGTGTGGATGGGAAGTTATGCTGCGGCCTGCCGCCTGTTGGTGTGCGTGAATGTTTTGATGTTGTTTGCCTAGTGGTGGTGGTGGTGGTGGTTCTGGTGGAGGTATGGTTGACTGAGAAGGCTATGAATGAAAGAGGGTGGAAATTGCAGTACTAGATGGTTCCAGCAGATATTCCGTATGTATGGACTGAGGGCAGCGTTGCCAGAACTACTGATACTCCATACCGATAGCGTTGAATGCTGAAAACCAATGCAAACACTTTGGTTCGTCAGTTGTTGATTGTAAATTTGTACATATTAAATTTGATTGAGTACAATTAAATAATTGTTCATATGGAGCTGATGGAAAGTATTGCAGCAGATGTAACCATTTTTTTGCCTCTTTGATGCATCAAACCACGCTTTCTCATAACTAAAATCTCACAATACGTTGAACACACAATTTCACAAACAGTTCAATAACAATGAGAGACCTGCTCCAATTAGACCTAAAAGAAAATAGTATTAAATTCTAAAGAAAGGCAGAATTTAACAACATGTTTCTTCAGGTTGTCAGGAAGCTGTGAAATAGAGATAAAATCAATAACCTCGTTAAGATAACTATTTTTAGACAGTTACGTCCAGCCCTTTCTGTAATGCACCCTCCTTTAAAGCATGCATTGCCCCTAACATCTTCCAGTTATTTTAAGTAGATAAATCGATACCGATATTCGAACAATAGTTCTGGCAGCACTGACTGAGGGTTTCCATGTTTGTAAAGCAGTGCGGGAGCCGGTCGCAATGTTTTCTCTCTCTCTGGGTTAGTTGGAACAGATGGAAAAACGAAATGATGGATGATTGCAATTTTGACACAGATATATAGGACAGACAAGATGATGAGTAGCCGTATGGAGCAGGGAAAGGAAAATACAATTTTAGTTATTATTTAAGCTACTGGGCAGCCCCTTACTTCAATACCTATCAATGCGTTCCATGCGTTCAACTCATAATTGAAGAAAATGCTGGAGACGCATGGTAGTTCATTAAACGCGTGCATTTTTCATATGCGTTTTCATCGGTCACCTGTACCTGTTTTGTACGGTGACATTGAAAAACTGAAAATCAAAATTTAAAAACATGAGTGCGAGTTAAGTTATGTTTACAAATTACATAACACAGCCCTGCGCTTTGGTCATGAGCGTATAGGGCGTCGTTGTGCCAATTTGGTCGTGGCACATTTCGAGTATGAGAGAGTGATATCACTGCAATATTGCAGTTTGCTCAAAAGTGCCTGAGTAAAATGCAAGTACTTTCGTTGATTACCCGTAGTTGTTACAGTGAAGATATACACCCAGATTCTCGTTTATGTCTGGACGTGTTTGTCATACAGAAACATTTTTATTTGATTTTGTGTGGTGGATGGGTTTCGGGCGTGGACGGGCATATGGGTGATAATCAGAGATAGAAATTCTCACTCAGCTGCACGATAAGCATTTCCTCACTCAAGCTACTTTTCGGTGAGTTGTGAACCGTTCACATTTTCATCGCTCCTTTTATTTATTTATCACCGTCTTCGACTAGTCGTACAGACTGAACTATTTTACTTATAAACTAGAAATTACTACTAATCCTATTTCTAAAAACATTTTTAATCAAGTTAAAATCGAATTCGTCACAGACAACATTGAACAAGCGAAGACACGAATCAAAAGGGTTGTTGTAGCCGTAGTTTGTTCTGTTATGGGACTGTTATTAAAGCTGAGCTCCGAAACCGTCGAGGAGGAATGTTGAGCGGGATCTGTGCGAGAAGTTCAGGGCAATCTATAGATCCGCCAATGACATCGAAAATAAATAGCCGCTGCATCGTTACTCGTCTGACAGATAGTGGTTCCAATCCTATGAGCTTGCATCGGTCAGAATAAGGAGGAAAATTGATCGGATCGTTCCAAGGAAGTTGTCTCAGTGCAAACCGTAAGAACCTTTTCTGCACCCGTTCAATCGTGAGAACATGAGCTACATAATAAGGGGACCAAATCGGAGCAGCGTACTCCAGAATGCTACGAACCAACGAGCAATAGAGAGTTTTTAAAGCGTGGATGTCGGTGAACTCGGAAGCGTGGCGACGGATGAATCCCAGCACAGAAAAAGCTTTGGCAGTGGTAATGCTCACGTGTTCGTTGAATCTGAGCCTCGAATCGATGGTAACGCCAAGGTCACACATGGACGACACACGTTCCAATGATGCAGTTTCCATTCTGTATTGATGAAGAATGGGGTTATTGCAGCGACCGAAGGTAATAACTTTGCACTTCATGTTATTGACCCGCACGCCGTTATCGCCACACCATACCAGTATAGTATCAATATCTTCTTGTAGAGCAATGCAATCCGGAAGAGCAGCTATGAAACGATACATTTTTAGGTCATCAGCGAATGAAAGCTTAAACGAGGAAAGCAGCAGACACAGGTCATTTATAAAAATGTTGAATATTAATGGTCCCAGAACGCTTCCTTGGGGTACACCAGACGTGATTTTGAAAGTGCGGGATCGAGTCGAGTTGACCGCAACATATGCAGTACGATCGCACCAGTACGAATGTATCCACTCTGTAATCCAATCTGGAAAACCTATGTGCTTCAGTTTTTCCACGGCTAGAATGTGCAGTACAGTGTCGAAGGCTTTCGCAAAGTCAACATACACCGCGTCAACTTGCCGCCTCTCTTCTACTTCGCGAGACAGTGCTGTGACGTAACACATGAGGTTAGTTGTTGTAGAACGATGCTTCATAAAGCCATGCTGACCATCAAAGATGATGGGAGACGCTACGTTGTATAGAACGTTGTGCACCAGTCTTTCAAACACTTTGCTGAGACAGCAAAGTATAGATACGCCGCGATAATTTGTCACCTGATTACAGTTGCCAGTTTTGTGAATAGGAACGATGCAAGCAGCTTTCCAAGCTGTCGGAAAGGTTCTTTCGTGAAGTGATCGGTTGAATAAGCGAGCAATTGGGTTCGCTAGTTCTCTTGAACAGTTTTTCAGCAACAGGGGTGGTATTCCGTTCGTACCAGTTCCTTTTTTGATGTCAAGCTCATCGATGACTTCTACTACTTCATTTGCGGAAAACTGAATAACCGGTCGGTTGATGTTGTGCGAAGGAACGTGAACAAAACAATCGCGCCTTGGTACATGTGACACTTTACTAAAAACGCTCTCGAAGAACATGGCGAAAAGGTTTGCAGCATCCACATTTGTATTAGCCTGGGCATCATTGAAGGTAACGTTGCATGGGATGCGAGAAGATGCTTGCCGCTTTTTCACGAAATCCCAGAAGCACGATGGGTTTTGTCTTACGCTGTCGAGGATTCCGCTTTTCACCGATAATTCATTATCCTTCTCATACATAATCCGAAAATATCTGTCTTCAAAAACCAACGAAAATATTTTTTCATCACCCATTTGGCTCTGAAAACTACCAAGAGCGAAAAAAATACCACCCCAAATTGTTCGGTTCCAACCCAATGCGATGTAAACAGTTGAGGCTTGAGGATTAGCTGTCTCTTTTGTTCTTCCGCTGATTAAATGGTTGACGGAGTGTGACGTCATACTGTGTTATCCATTTAAACAGCGGCAGAACGAAAGGGACAACGATTTCACAGAGCGTCACCTGTTTGCATTTCATTGGTTTTAACCATTCCGGCAGATTTTTTTTATTTCCTTTTTATACCTTCTGTTAAATAATAAGTGTCATCCATAAATGACGATGCAATTTTCATACCAATTTTAGACCTTCCCCTCCCCCTTCGTAGCGTTTTTTTCTATACCTTATGTATGGCCCGTTACAAATGTTGAAACCCCCTCTCCATTACTCCTCAGATTCTACATAACTTATGGATGAGCCCTAACAGTTTTTTTGGTTCTCAATTTCGGATCATCGTTTTCGTGCGGAAAGTGAATTTTCAGGTGTATGAAAGATGTGAAAAATCGTTATCGGCATCAATAATTCACTGAAAAAGAAACGTTTTATCTGCCGCTCATGCTCTCCGAAAAAAATAAATCGCTGTTGCTTTTCTCGCGAAAACTGCTGCGAGCGACGGGCACGCACTAGTCTTTCAATACTATACAGCCTGCTGACCAAATATTTAAAATCTTGCCATTACCGCATTAAATACTTTAAATACACTCTTAATTTCAATTAATTCTTTTATTACTCACAAAATTTTATATTTAAATTATCTTCAATATAGTTAAATTATTTGTCATTACATAAATTATCGTTAATTATTTGTTAATTACCTTCAATACTCCTAAAATTATTTAAATTCAAATTATTACTGTCTTCAAAGTATTTAAATACTACGATGTATTTTAAATATCACGCACTTATTTCCGGAAGGGCGCGCCCCTCGACTGTGAGCGTATAATATTCTCTCGCTTCTCTTCTATTTCTCCTAGCAGGTGAAAAATGTCGTTTCTCTTCTGAAGTAGGCGAAAATTTCGATCTCTGGTGATAATATTAAGTTTACGTTAGGATAACGTTGAAAAACTGAGAACTGTATCGCTTCAGTTTGAGAAGCACTTCACTTCGCAACCGATGAACCACGACCACTGACGGCCCACATTACCAGGCACCGGCGCTGTGTGTTGTCAGGGTCCAATATTGGACAGTTTGATGTTTATAAAGTACCATCAGTTAAAACTGTATTTATCAACTTTATCTCTATACATTCTTAGGTGTTTCTTAGAAGATTATCATGTTGGTGTACGCTGATTCAAAGAGTAAATGGTATTAACATTCAGCTGTCCATAGTTGGGCGTTGCTGAACTTGTGGTA